TCCCCAGATCCTTTCTGACTTACATCATCTCCCTGTAAAATCTATAAAAGGCTTCCTGTCATCCCTTCTTTTTTTCAAAGCTCAGATTCCTCCTGGAGTACCCACAAAATTCCTGGTTTTGTTTGAGGGATCCCTCTGGTTTTTAGCTTATTTGCTGAGCAAAGATGATCAGTTTACCATTCCTTCCCAATTTCCTTGGGGTTCCCTCTGATGACTCATTTTGCAGGTACTCCCAAGAGAAGGATGTTACTCTTCCCAAGTCCCCTTAATTCTTATAGTTAAAACACTGGATTACATAGCCCAAAGTACGATGAGGCAAATTCTGTCCACAAGTGAAAACATAATAATTGTTAGAATTTACATAGCTGTTTAATTCTTGAAAAGCACTTCCAAGCATTATCTCACTTGATTCCCACAACAACCCTGTGAGGTAAGTGATATTATCATCGCCATTTTACAGATGAGGAAACTAAGGCTGAGAGTGGTTAAGTGACTTGCTTAGGTTGCCAAGCTAACAAGTATTTAAGGCAGAATTTGAACTTAGGTCTCCTGATGCAAATCCAATATTCTTACTCACTATGCTACCAAGAGGCCTTTATTAAATTTTTTCTATGCCAAGAACTCAATTCAGGTCAACGAAAGGTTCCTATCAAGTGACTATTCTGTGCAAAGCACTGGGCTAAGTGCAATACACAGTTTATTAAAGACTCATCCTTTACCATCATCTCATTTACAGATGCAGTGTGGTACAAGGAGCCATCGCACAAAATTATCTCTCTCCCTCTTCTTTCGAGGATTCTTGTACGATGATGTATATGTAGGAGACACCTTGCTGGAGAGTCTTGCTTTACTGAATCAACTGCTCCCTAAAAATAACCAACAAACAATAATGGTGGTGGGATCTTGAGTCCTCTATATCATTCAGTCAGCTATTGCCTAGGCAGCTATATTGGTATAATAACTATTGCACTGGACTTATAGTGAGGAAGATCTGAGTTCAAATGTGACCTCAGACACTTGCTTAAGTGTATGACCGTGGCCAAGGCACTTAACTTCTCTCTGCCTCAATTTCCTCACCTATAAAACAGGGATAATAACAACACCTACCTTGTAGCATTGTTGTGAGGATCAAATGAGATACTATGTGTAACGTGTTTTGCAAAATTTAAAGTCTTACGTAAATGTCATTATTATTGTTACCACCTCAGTTTCCTCACCTATAAAATGGGAAAAATAATAGCCCCTATATTGCAGTGGTTTTTTGTGAGGATCAAATGAGATAATATGTATAAAGTACTTTATACTATTGCTGTTATTATTCTTATTTATTTTTATTATCTCTGAGCTTCTGTTTTCTCCTCTATAAAATAACGGCTGTAGCATTAACCTAATAGGGTAGTTTTGAAAATCAAACGAGATAGGGTATGCCAAGCAGTTCACAAACCTTAGACTATGATATGGGTGTTAGTCATTATTATTATTACTACCTAGTAATAACAGGCAGCCTTGCCTGCCATCAGGCAGATCAGGGAAGCTTCATGGAGGAGAAGACATTTGGGTTGAGCTCAAAGGATGGGTAGGAATTGGACAGGTGAAGACAGGGAAGGAAGACATTTCAGGCACAGGGAATATACTGAACAAAAGGTACTGAAGTGAGAGAGGGCAAAGTGTGGTCTGGTTTAGCGATACCTTAAGGTTTGTGATAACAGAATATCACAAGATATGTCCAGAAAGGTAGGAGGGGTCAAGAGTATAGAGGGCTTTGAATGCCAGGACTTTTGAACTTGACTCTAGAGGCAACAGGGGACGATTGAAGATGACTATATCTGAGCATAAAGATTAGTCTGGCAACAATTATGCTTTGAAGGAGAGAGAGAGGGAAAGAGAGATAGAGTAGGGATGGAGGAAAGGAAGCAGCAGAGAAACTAGAGAAGAGGACAATGATACCCTCCCGAGTCTTCTTTCGCCCATATAAATACTAGCACTTTTCAGGGCTGCTCGTCCCACTTTGGTGTCCACCTTCACTCAACTTTCACCTGTGGTTGCAAGAAGCTATAGCATGTGCAGCAGCCACACCCTAGTAAAACCATCTTGGCAGACAGGCCAAGTTGAGGGTCAATGATAGGCCTCAAAACTATCAGTGAGTTAGCGGATATCTACCCCAAGCATGTGAAGACTTCCCCTGGCAGAAGGGGCAGATGAGAACAATTCATTCCAACAGTCATGAAGGTGGCTAAAGCAGGTGTTGTAGACCGCTTAGAGTTTGGTCAAACATCAAAGATGCCAAGGGCATCCACCTCATCCCAAGCCATTGCCAGTAGTCCTGACTTTTGTCTTCCCACTGGATTTCGTTGACTCTGGAAGAGTGGGTGAGGCTGATGATATTGTGCAACTCTGCCTCACTTAAATCCAATTTATGAGTGAGTCAAGACACCCAGTGATGTCACTGGTCTTCTTCAAAAACAAAGGACAAACAACATTATCTAACATTAACAACATTATCCTTCAACCAATCTTCAACTCATGAACACAAGGCCATTCATTGACCTCATTGCCCTCCTCTGGACACTCTGCAGCTTATCCCTGCTCTTCTTAAACTTTAATGCCTACAATTAAACACAATATTCTAAATAAACTCTGCCATGGGCAGAGTACAATGGGATTATCTCCCACCTGTTCCTGGAAACTGGAAACCATCCTAATGCAGCCTAAGATTTCATTAGCTTTTTGGGCTGCCTTTCTTTGTATACCCAACACTTAGCACAATGCCTAGCACATAGAAGATGCTTAATAAATGCTTATTGACTGACTGACTTCCACATCATGTGTCTGAGTCTATGGTCTATTAAAACTCCCAGATACATTTCAGAACTGCAGTCTATCAATATCTCTCCCCACATTATATTTGTGAAATTGATTTTTTGTACTTGTGTGCAGGATTTTACGCTTATCCCTATTGAATTTCATCTTCTTAGATTCTACCCAATGCTCTAGCCTATCAAGATCCTTTAGGATCCTGACTCTATCATTGACTGTGTTAATTATTTCCCCCAGAATTGTGTCATTTGCAGATTTAATGATCACATGCACATTTGTCCAAGCCACTGATAAAAATGTTAAACAACACAAGGCCAAGTACACATGCTTGGGGTCCTCTACTGGAGATCTCCTGCTTGTTGACACTAAACGACTAGCAACTTCTATCTGAGTCCTTCCATTCAAAAACTTTTGAATCTATCTGATTGAATTACCATCTAATCCACACCTATCTCTTCTATGAAAATAGGGCGTGATACTTTACCAAAAGTTTTGCTAAAAACACGGGAATACTATACCCACAGAATTCTCCTCATTTATTGGTTTAGTAATCCTGTACCAAAAGGAAATGAGGTTAGTTTGATATAACCTGATTTTGAGAAACCCATGCTGACTTTCTGTAATCATCACTTCCTTTTTTCCCGGTTATTTGCCAATCACATCTGTAATAATCTGATGCAGAATTTTAAATCAAAATTGAGCTCACTGGTTCTTCTCTAATCTTGTAATGCCTCTCCCCTTTTCCATGAGCTTTCAAAATATTCTAACATTAGTGGGGAGGGAAGGGAATGAGCATTTGTCAGGACCCAAAGATGTGGTTCATCGATAGCTGTGAACTTGAATTCATCAAGGGAAGTATGTGCTTTTCCATGATCTCTACTCATCCAGTGTATCAACTCCCTGTTGGTCATTGTTGTTCTTTCAGTTCCAGGGTAAAGGTCATTCTCCTTTTCAGAGAAAATAAAAACAAATTAAAATTTGAGCAGTTCTATTTCTCTCTGTTGTTAGTTATCATCATCCTATCTACCCCAAGGAAGTTTGCTTCTTTGATCCTCCATTTTCTCCCAATATAACTAAAAAAGCCTCTTCTGTCCTCTTTAACCTTTATCAGCCTCAGTTCATTCATAGCTTGAGCATTCCTGACACTACCTTTTTTTATTTTACAGGATTGTGTGATGCCCTCATATTCTTCTTCTGTTACCTGTCATTGTTTCCATCTTCTGTACATTCTTTTTTAAATGTAAATTAGTTGGTGAATTCTACAAATTGCATTTTCCTCCTCATTTTAATTGTTTTCCTTTGTGTTTTCAGAATTTCATTCTTAAGTAACCCCTAGTCCTCTTGGGGTGACTTCTTATTCCTTGAATCAGTTTATTAGTTTATTAGTCAAATCAATCTTTCCCCTCACTCCACTGAAATCTACTAAATTTCTTCATTTTGAAAGATTTTCTTGTAGTTTGTCATTCATGCTTGCTATTTCCAGGTCGAGAGAGGCAGGAAATAAATATTTATGAAGTATCTACTATGTGCCAGAAACTTTGCCAAGGATTTTAATGAATATCTTATTTGATCCTCACAATAGCCCTGTGAGGTAGGTACTATTATTACCCACATTTTACAGTTGAAGAACCTGAAGCAGACCTATGTTCAGGCCTAACTGTTAAGTGACTTAACCAGGGTCATCCATTTCTTCAATGTTTAGTCATTTCAGTTGTGTCTGACTCTTCATGAGACCATTTGGGGTTTTCTTGGCAAAGGTAATGGAGTGGTTTGCCACTTCCTTTTCCAGTTCATTTTACAGATGAGGAAACAAAGGGAAACAGGGTTAGGTGACTTGCCCAGGGTCATATAACTAGTAAGTGTCTTAGGCCAGATTTGAACTCAGGAAGATGAGTCATCCTGGCTCCAGATCTAGCACTCTGGGGACTGGTATCTTGAGACACTAGGTTATGTCTTGTTGCATATTCAATAGGTACAGAATTTTATGGCCTACAGGTGCATAATTTCTAGTTTCCTTGCATAATTTTCATCAATTGCTGTCTGTACTCCTTTATGATAACTTTTGTAAGAATTAATAGAGATGACTTGAATTGGCATGATAAACCTCTCCATATCTGGAAAAAAAACCCACAAAATCTCTGTGATCAGTCATTTGTTTTTCACTTCCTTATCAACACATCTAGGTTTATGGAGATGTTACCCATGGAAAGCCTTTTGAAACCACTCATGGATCTTAAGCTCCATCTGGAGGTAAATTTTTCCTTATATTAGACAAATCCAATGGCATGTGACTATTGTCAGCATTTACTATGATTTGGTAAAATGTCATTAGCTTGCTCCAATATTATGATTATGATTATTCATTATTATAGATTATTATCATCTGATTTATCTGAGAGAGGAGAAAAAGATAATTCCTAGGGGAGGAACAAAAGAGAGAATATAGAATGGTGACAGCACAGATGGAAATGGTAAAGTGAGGAGAGGCATTTTTAATGGAAAAGCTAATAAACTGGTCTTCATAAAGTCCCTTCTACAAAGAACCTTGATGAGTTCTGGTCACCAGCCCAGATGAACTATATCCTAGAGTTCCAAAGGAATGAAGAGATATGATTACTGATCTGTCTGTGATCTCTGAAAGACTGGAAAATGGAAGAGGGATGGTAGGTAGCCCTGGAGAAGGCAAATGTCTTAGTCAAAAGGAAACATCATTGGTCTGTTACTGTTTTACTGTCCCCTGCCCTGATCAGACCACATCTGGCACATTGTGCTCAGCTCTGTATCCACCTTTTGAAGGATGTGGATAAATGAGAAAGTGCCCAGAAGAGATCAACCAAGGTGGTAGAGGGCCTCAAAATTATGATAAATAAGATTTAAGAAGCATCTGGGGAGGTTCAGCTTGGAGAAGAAATTATTTTAGGGGGACAGGATAGCTAACTTCAAGTTTTTGAAGGGTTGTGAGTTAGACCAGCTCTGGATCCCAAAGAATGGGAACATGGTCATGCCCACCTCCAGCTAGGTCATTTATTAATAGCATACAACCAGTGGAATATTCAATTGTAGGTTCATAGACTCAGAGATTTGGTGCTGGTGGGACCTCAGAGGTCATTTTGTCCAACCCTCTTATTTTTCAGATGAGGAATCTGAGGGTCATTGAAGTAAAGATATTCAGGTAATAAACATCAGAGATATTCCAACCTTTTCCATTGTACCATGGAGGCATGTGTTTCTGTTTTACCACTGCCCTTGGGTCCCAGTCTTGGTCTTGCTTCTGGTAAGTGAAACTGAACACACAGCTACAGCCAATTAATCATCTCTATCTAGACTATAGATTGATTCAGGGTGGCTTGAGACAGTTAAGGATTATAAGATTTTATCCTCAATTTGAAGGTAGTTGGAGACTTTGACAAGTACGCTAATTTAGGGTAAAGCAAACTTCAGTTACTTTAGATGCTGGGGCTGCATGTGTAGATTTATCACTTATTCTACCTGTTTCTATGAACTTTCCTTTATCTTCTTGAGGAAAGTAGTTGAATCTAATCAACATGGATAATGGATTTACCTCTAGCCTTAAGGCTAGAAGCCTTAAAGTAGAGACTGGCTGACCACTTATCAGTGTTGCAAAGGGATTTGTTTGTGGTATGGGGTGGGTAAAAATGGGTATAGGGTTCCATCCAATTTTGATATCTGTGAATTTGTAAAATAAGAAAAAATGTGCATGGCAGAGCATATCGAGTAGAATTGTGTATTTTTCTTGATTTCTTTTTGCCAAACTGTTAGGAAGATAGAGTTGTTCCAAGGGGAACAGTGGAGAAAACACATGTAATATACAAAGTGGACTGATGGCAAAACTACCTTTTAAATCTATTGCTCTCACAGTAGAATGAATGATCCTTCTTTCTGGGAAACATCTTGATGCAAGAAAAGATAAATAGGGGCATGGAAAGTAAGATGCTGTCATCTTAACCCTACAAAGAGTTTTGTCCTGTATTGTTGTTGCTGTTAACTGTTCTCATCCATAAGCATACATCTCACCATATTCAGTCCTCTACTTTAGAGACAGAGCCCAGGGCCTGGAGTCAGGAAGGCCAGAGTTCAGATCCATCCTCACACACTTCACTTATAAGCTATGTGATTCTGGGCAGGTCCCTTAAACTGTCTTCTCATGTTTCTCAGCTGTAAGATGGGAATAATAGTAGCATCTACTTCACAAGGTTGTTGTGAGGATCAGATGAGATTTTGTAAAGTGCTTAGAACAGTGCCTGGGATGTAGGAGGCACTAACTAAATGCATGTTCCCTCTTCTCTAGTGGAGAGAGCTTTGAAATGGTCCCAGCTCCATCACTAGATGGATAGATAATTTCTGAGATCCTGAGTTAAAGGACATTTGAAAATTTATTATTAGTTACTATGATTAATTTTTAGGGCAACTAGGTGGCACAGTGGCTAGATTGTCAGGCCTGGAGTCAAGAAGAGTCATTTTCCTGAGTTCAAATATGGCCTCAGACACTTACGAGTTGTGTGACCCTGGGCAAGTCACTTAACTCTGTTTGCCTTAGTTTTCTTATCTGTAAAATGAACTGGAGAAGGAGATGGCAAACCACTCCAGTATTTTTGCCAAGACAGCTCCTAATGGGGTCACAAAGAATTGGACACAAGTGAAACAACCGAACAACGACAACAAATAATTTTTTTAAATTACAGGGATAGTTTGTGTACTGGTGTAGTAAGAAGAGCAATGACTCTGGAGTCAGAAGTAGGAACTATTTTCTCCATTTTATATTTGAGGAAAATGACAGTGAAAGAAGTTAATGGATTTGCCCAGAGTCACATGGCTAGTAAAAGAGGCATCTAGGTAGCTGGACTTGGAGTAAGGAAGAACTGAGTTCAAATCTGGTCTCAGACATTTACTAGGAAGGGAGTAACTTATCCACTGGTTATTCCACATTTAAAAATGAATGTGATGAGGTGAACGCTTTGTAGCAACAGTTTGGTCCCTCTCCAGGGACCAGTTTGGTAAAAGGAGGGAGTTTTTATACTTCTATTTATACTATATCTTCTCAGTAAATACCTCTTTGTAAAAGCTAATCAATATTAATTGGTTATATTGACAGTAGGGTGCTAATCACTAGTATTAATGATATTGAGGAGATATTAACTGGCACTGGTAATTTTTATAAGGGAGGAGGGACACTCCAGAATGGTGGTTTGAAAAACATCCCATCAACACTAATGCATTGTTGGTGGAGTTATGAACTGATCCAACCATTCTGGAGAGCAAATATGCCCAAAGGGCTATATAACTATGTATACCCTTTGATCCAGCAATAGCACAACTAGATCTGTATCCCAAAGAGATCATAAGAAAGGGGAAAGGACCTACAAGTACAAAATATCTATTTTAGTTCTTCTTGTGGTGGCAAAGAATTAGAAACTGGGGGAATGCCCATCAATTGGGGAATGGCTAAACAAGTTGTGGTGTAGGCATGCAATGGAATACTATTGTTCCACAAGACATGATGAGCAGGCAGATTTCAGAAAAACCTAGAAAGCCTTATATGAACTGATGCTGAGTGAAGTGAGCAGAACCAGGAGAACATTGTACACAGTAACAGCAACATTATGAGATGATCAATTATGACTGACTTAGCTTTTCTTAGCAATACAATCATGTAAGACAATTCCAAAAGACTCATGATAGAAAATGCTATCCACATGCAGAGAAAGAACTATGAAGTCTGAATGCAGATCAAAGCATACTATTTTTTACTTTTTTTTGTTTTTTATTTTTTGTGGCTTTTCCCTTTTGTTCTGATTCTTCTTTCATAATGTGACATATGTGGAAATATGTTTAACATGATTGTACATGTATAACCTATATCAGATTGCTTGGTGTCTTGGGGAGGAGGGAGGGAGAAAAATTTGGAACACAAAATCTTACAAAAATGAATGCTGAAAACTATCTTTACAAGTAATTGGAAAAAATAAAATACTATTAAGTGAAAAAAAGAAAGAGAAACATCCCATTGCCTTCCAGGGATACCCCTTGAATCTTTATTGGGAGATATAGCCAGCCATGCTCTGGGAACTCAACCTGCTAGTATATGTGGGTTGGGATAAAGACCCCCAAAGCTTATAATTGCTACAAATGTAAAATGCTTTGTAAACTTGAAATCACTACATAAAGGTTAGTTTATTCTCACTATCATCCTCATCTTGGTAAGGATCTGAGAGGCTGGGCTACTTGTATAGAGTCACACTAACTAGTAACTATCAAAATCAGAACTTTAACTTAGAACTGACTATAAGGTCAACATTCTTTTGATTACATCTATTTACAATGAGATAGTAAAGGCCTTTGATCACCTTACATTCTAGTCTGTTCTATAGCAGGAAGGCTGCTGGGAACCAAGCAAGAATACTGAACACAGGAGCCCTTGGACTTTCCTGTGGTTTTCCAGTCAAAAGAGAAATCTCTCAGGAGAGCCAAGATGTAACTTTACTCTTAGGGGAAATCCAGAGGATTGGACATCTGGATGAGAAGCAGACTTTATTGGTGAAATAAATTTACAGAAAATCGAAAGATGGAAGACATTCCAAAAGTTGAGAAAAGAAGCACTCTCCCTAAATTTCCTTTCCCAAGACCAACATGTTAGTTGAAAGGCCCAGTTTCAGCTCTAGAAGAATGAAATAAAACAAAAATATTGAAGGTGGCTTTGAAGCCTAGAGATTTTAAGAGATATCTTAACAGTTGACTGTGAGTACAGCCCAATGTAAGATTCCAGTATCCTGAGGGCAAGGACTTTTTCCTTCATCTGTCTAGTGCCTAGCATGGTATCTTATATCTTTTTATGTTATTTGGTCCAGACTTCTGATTTCATTATTGAAGGTAATTCCCATCAGCTGATATAGATGAGAGCTCATCTGTAACTTATGGTCATGTAGAACATTGCCTGAGGCACTGAGAAGTTGTTACTTGCCCACAGTCACATAGTTAGTATGTGCCAGAGGCAAGACTTCAGCACAAATCTTCCTGATGCAACACCCCATTGGGTCATCTCTCTCAAAAATAGCACTGGGCTACAAGCTATGTGCTACCTGAGTGGTGAGAAGTGTGATTTCTAATGGCAGGAGGAATGCTGAATACTGTAGTCTATAGGATTGAATACTATAGTCTATATAACCAACACCTACGTTAGGAACTTACTGAATTGGTTCTCAACATTCTTTAGGAGAGACAAATGGAGAAAGAAGTTCCAGGGATGCAGCAAAGAAAAAAAGTCTTTGGAATAGCAGACATAAATGGCAAGTCATTCCTGTCATGGCCCTGGACTTGCTGGAAATTCTAGAAACTGCTGAGAATGGACATCCTCTGAATAAGATCACTTCTTCTCTCCTTAACTGAGCTGAAATCTTATCTCATGAGCTGAATGAACTGAAGAGCTCACTCACTCATGAACTCTTTGGTATATTCTAACCTACATAACTTCTCTGATTTCTGTTTGCTTTATTGCTTAGATAAATGGGCTTTATTCTATTCATTATTTGTGTTGTTCTTTTGTGTAATTAGTGTTTGGTGGGAAGGAGCTAAGCTGGTGAGTGTAAGGTAAGAGCTGCCCCCTCTCCTTTAAGAATAATCAGGGCTCATGCCTGTTTTGTCTCGAACTTCCTTTCACCTAAACAAAATGGATGTTTGAGGTAGAGCAGATAAATACAGTTCTAGCCCAATACCCAACTTGGAGTAAGGCAAGGGAAGGAGTAAATGCCTAGCAACAACTCTTCTTCTCCTTCACAGTCTCCCTTGAAGAGGAATGGACTAGATTCTAGAGATGTCTATCCATGCCATATGTAAGCCAGCCATATTATATACATGTATGCATACACATGCCTACGTATGTGTATAAATATATACACATCTATACGTCTATGTATATTTATGTGTTTGATGTATGCATGTGTATGCATGTATGCATGTGTGTATGAAGTATTATATATGTGTGTATGTATATTAGACATACCACATATAAATCTATCTTATCCTGACTCCAAAGCCTGCCTGTTTTTTGGACCATGGCTATAATTTCGTTAATATAAGGAACTTCCAATGAGGAATTTCCTTCTACCAATGCAGATCAGTAGCTGCTCTGCAATGTGGAGTCTTTTAAAAGTTGCCTGAAGCACTGAGAGATGAAGTTATTTGGCCAGGGTAACATAGCCTAGACATGGGGGCATGAATCCAGGTCTCCCTAGCTTCGAGGCCCATCTTTTCTATCTTCTACATCTTGCTGTGTCATATAAAATACACTTAGTAAATATTTGAGTTAAGTCTACACTTATTTAAAATCTAATCAATGGCAAAGCCAAGAAATTCCTTTCCAAAGTAACAGGATAAGGGTAGCTCTGGGGCTGTTATTTAAAACTCTCCCCACACAATGATGACAATTCCACTAAATGTATCACCTCTTTGTTCTAGAGAGAGTTCTTCCTATTGGGAACCCACTTAAAAAAGGAAACCCTCCTGACGATCCATATTGTTTAATCCAATGCCAATCTGCATTGATAGAGAAAGTCTCCTCTGCCTCCCCTTGATGGGACCATCTGCTATTTCTCAAATATCTCCACTGCCCATCTTAATAGGAATTATTGAAAGTAAGTTTTGCAAAGTGTTTTTCTCATAACAGCACATGAGGTAAATAAAATAAGCTTTATCTCTGTGTTACAGTGAAGGAAATAGAAGCTTAGCAAGTTTAACTGGCTTGCTAGGAAGAGTCAGAGCCAGGATGGAACCTAGATTTTCTGACTCCAAGTTTGTTGTCCACTCCACTCTATTCCACTGTTTTTCTGATGATTTGGCCAAGCTAATAACTTTGGGAAATCTGACCTAATTCATACCTATCCCCAATACTGTTTACCTTAGACCAGTGAGAAAATGCCTCAAACAACCAAAAAAAGTATTATTATTTTTCCTTGAGTTGAAAGTTGAGCACTAGCCTTCAAGATTTCTTAGGTACTTACAAGATATATTTTAAAACTTAAGATACTAAACCAACACAAACCCAATGGTTCCCACAATACCTGCTCAACCATGCTTGAAGTTTCTTTGTATTTGCTCAGTACATTATATCTTCGATTCAAAAATACACATCTTAGAAAGGAAACCCCCAAACTATCCATTCAAAAATTCCTTCCCAGTAATCTAAATTAAAGTCATGCTATTATTTACTTTTTCCTCTTTCTTTTTTAAAAAGAAGTTTTTATTTATGTCTTTTGGTTTTTTTCATCACCAAAATTTCCCCAAGTATTCCTTCTCCTTTCCCCAGAGAGCCATCCTATAAAACAAATATTTTAAAGTAAAAAAATTCAGTAAAACTGATTTATATATCAAAAAATCAAAAATGCATGTATATGTATTGTTTGCTTTTAAAAATTATAACCATTACCTTAGCACAGAGCTTTGTCCAATTATCAGCAATTTATCTACTACTGTATTGAAATTACTACATATCACTACTCTAACAAAACTGCTCTCAGAGGTCATTAAAATGAAGAACACAAATTACTGGGATTAGGACCTGCTATTAGATAATAATTAATGAGAAAAATGGAAAGTTTTTTTAGTCAGAAATTAGAGTCAGACCAGTATCTTCACTAGATGCCATAATAAGCACCAAAAGAATACTTGGTCTAAGTATAAAAATCCACATCATAAAAGATTCAGAGAGCAAACCTATGTACTTTTCATAGCTACGACCAGAGAAAGTTCTTAACCATACAAGACTTAGAGGCAATAGCAAAAGATTATATAGATAATTTCAATTATATCCAATTAAAAGGTTTTGCAAAAAGGAGAGAAGGAAGGAAGAAAGGAAGGGAGGGAGGGAGGAAAGGAGAGAGTGAGAAAGGAAGGAAGAAAGGAAAGAAGGGATGAAGGGATGGATGGAGGGAGGGAGAGAGGGAGGAAACAAAAGAGGGAGGAAGGAAAGAAGAAAGGAAGGAAGAAAAGAAGCGCTTATTAAGTGCTCATGACAGCCACTGTGCTAAGCCCTTTACAAATATTACATCATTTGATCCTCACAACCACCTTGGGAGATAGATGCTGTTATTACTCCTATTTTATAGCTGAGGAAACTGAGACAGACAGAGGTTAAGTGACTTGCCCAGGGTTACACAGCTAGTAAATGTATGAGGCCAGATTTTAATTCAGGCCTCCTTGGCTCCAAAACCAACCTCTAGCCACTGTACCATCTAACTGCCTTTTGAAACCATATGGAGGGGCACCTAGGAAGTGCAGTGGATAGAGCTCTGGCCTTGGAGTCAGGAAGACCTGAGTTCAAATCCAGCCTCAGGCACTTGACCCTTATTAGCTGTGTGACCCTGAGCTAGTCACTTAACCCCATTGCCTCACCAAAAACCAAAACAAAACATATGGAGAAAAGGGGAGGATCAAAGAAAGGATGGGATAGCTGATTGGGACAGATAAGACAGTGGTCATGACCTAGGGGTATTAGCAAAGCATTTGACAAAATGTCTCATGCTATTCTTATTATGGAAGTGGGATAATGACATAGTTAAATGATTTAGGAGCTTGTTGAATGTTAGGGCTCAGCAAAGTTATTAATAGATAATGCACTTGAACTCAGTCTCTAGTAGAATGTCTCAAGGGTCTGGGCTTAGCCCTGCACTATTTAACATTTTTATCAATTACTTTGATAAAATAATTACTTTGATTTTTTTTATTAGTCACTTTGATATAGGTATAAATGGCATGCTTATCAAATTTATAGATGCAATAAAATTAGGAGGGATGGCTAACTGGAATGAGAGAGAGGCAGGATTCAAAGAGACCATAAACAACTAGAACACTGAGCCAAATCTAATAAGATGAAAAGTACTGATTGACAAATAAATCAATAAACACTTCTTAACTTTGTACTATGAGCTAGGTTCTAAGCACTGGGGATACAAAGAAAAAGCAAAAACTATATTTGAAAAAAACCCTACCACACCTTTAAATGTGAAGTATTACCACTGGGTTTATTAAAAATTAATTTCACAAGCCCAAGGAAATGTGGCCAAAAGATGTTGTGGATTTAGTGAACCATAAGCTCATTATGATTCAGCAGTGTGATTTGCAACTCAGAAAGTTAATACAGTTTTAGCTTCCCCTCCTGGATCATTGCCTTGTTGTGACAAAGAGGCTTGTATAGCTCAATGAAACCATTGCAGGGTTACCCAAGACAGATATATCATAGTGGAGAATTCTGGCACAAGGTGATCTACTGGAGAAGGAAATCGTAAATCACTCCAGACCAAGAAAATGCCAGGGACAATATTGAAATGATAAAAGATACGACACCAGACGATGAACCTCTCAAATTGGAAGATGTCTAATGTGCTAATGGGGAAGAGCAGAAGACAATTGCAAGTAACTCCTGTACTAATGAAACAGCTGGGCAAAAGCTGAAAGGAAGCTCAGCTGCAGATGTTCCAAGAAAGTCCAAAGCTATAAAGATCAATATTGCATAAGAACCTGGAATGTAAGATCTATTAAGCAAGGTAAGCTGGATGTGGTCAAATAGGAGATGGAAAGATTAAACTTCAACAGACAGAGGTTATTGTCAGTTAATGGATGTCAGTGAAATTAAATGGATGGGAATGGGTGAATTTAATTCAGGTAATCATTACATATAATACTGTGGGCAAGAATCCCTTAAAAGAAATGGAGTAGCCCTCATAGTCAATAAAAGGATGAGAAAAGTCCACTGGAGTATAATTTCAAAAATGACAAAGTGATATCTGTTCAAATCCAAGGCAAAGCTTCCAACGTCACAGTAATACAAGTCTATGCTCCAACCACTGATGCTAAAGAAGCCGAAATTGATCGCTTCTATGAAGACTTGCAACATCTTCTAGAAATAACACCAAAAAAGATGCCATGTTCATCATGGGGGATTAGAATGCTAAAGGAGAAAAATCTAAAGGTGATTGGAGTAACAGTGGCCACTTGATTGGAAAAGGTCAGCTTACTGTTCCAATCCTAAAGAAGGGTAATGTCAAAGAATGTTCAAACTACCAAACAATTGCACTCATTTTACATGCTAGCAAGGTTATGCTTAAGATTCTGAAAGCCAGAATTCAGCAATATGTGAATTAAGAATCACTAGAAGGGCAGGCATTTTTGAAGAGGCAGAGGAACTAGAGACCAAATTGCCAACATTGGCTGGATCCTGGAGAAAACTAGGGAGTTTCACAAAAACATCTACTTCTACTTCATTGACTACACTAAAGCCTTGGACTGTGTGGATCACAACAAAATGTGGCAAGTCCTCAAAAAGATGAGAGTACTAGATCTTTTACTTTTCTACTGAGGAACCTGTATTCAGGCCAAGAATCAACAGTTAGAATCAAACATGGAATAACTGATTGATTTAAGATTGGAAAAGGAGTACAACAAGGTTGTATATTGTTACCTTATTTATTTAA